ATGCTTTTAATGTTACATCAGCCTTAGCTAATTCTAATAAAATATTCTTATCACTTTTGTCATTCTGTAAGAATTTCACAGATTTTTATTGCTGATAGATGGTTTACTGATTATCTTTTTCTATATTATATTTCTTTATTAAACTTATATATATAAAATTGTCAAACATCCCAAGCCTGCAATATAGTCTCTGTGTCTTCCACATTTCGAATTTCTTGTCTTAAAGGTGAGTTCTTAAGTCTACAATAGTTCCATATTGAAATATGTCATATATAGACTTTCAAACAGAGTACAGAGAATTTCGACTTAAAACTTTTAAATATAAATATGTGATTAAGTGTATTTCAGTTAATATTGCAGAAAAGGATTTGGCTCTGTATATTTAGCAACCAAATTGGATGATATATAAAAAATCCATTGTGACAAAATAATTATGCAAGGGTGTGTGAAAATCTAATACTGTTGCACTCAAGACACCTTGTATAGTTATAAGGATAAGATAGGTTTAATTTTTTGAAAGAATTTAACAATCATATGGTGTGCATAGCAAACTCACTATATATGGAATATTCAAGTTACAAGGTCAATGCACTAATGAAAGTATGCAATTTTATATTGTAGTTCTAGGATTACCTAGAAAGAAAATAGAAGTATTTCAGAAGCCAATATTTATGGTATCATGTCCTAGAAATACTATTAGGCAACAAATTTATACAAAAGTTGACACGTATTAAGAGTTTGGTATATCAAGAGTCAATATATAATCGATATGTATTAAGAGTTCAGTTATATAGAGAGTTCAGTATATTGAGAGTTCGGTATATTTGAGACCTCTCAATATACTGAACTCTCAATATACCGACCTCTTGATATACCGAACTTTCAATATACCAAACTCTTGATATATTGAACTCTCGATATACCGAACTCTTGATATACCGAATTCTCGATATACTGACCTCTTGATTAGTAATTTGAACCAATTACATATATAGAGAGTTTGGTATATTTGAGACCTCTTGATATACCAAACTTTTAATATACTGAACTCTCGATATACCAAACTCTCAATATACTGAACTCTTAATATACTGAACTTTCGATATATTGAACTCTCGATATACTGAACTCTCGATATACTGACCCCTTAATTAGTGATTTGAACCGATTACCTGAAATTTATTTAATTCGGGTCAGTTAACAGATTATGTATAGCCCAACTGGCAAATATTCGATATATCGAGAGGTCAGTATATCGAGAGTTCGGTATATCAAGAATAGAGATGGGTTCACAAACGGTCACAATTATTTATAGCCAATTTGCTAAATACTGGGATTAGTGTTGTTAGGTGAAACTATTTTTAGTAAATGGCGAAAGTCGAAACTAAACCCAGTGAAAGTTGAAACTGGCAAAACTCTGGTAAATGTCAAAACTCTGGCAAAATGTTGAAACTCTGGTGAAACTCCCAATAAAACTAAAACCTTGGAGAAAGTTAAATACAGTGTAGATTAAATCCTCTAAGGTTTTGGAAAGACTGAACCATGTTGATGTATCAAAATATTTTGTGTGTAGCCATTATGCACAGCTGGCTTATATAAGAATGTACAAAAGCAATAAACAAAGTAATGGTCTTTTATTTGTATTTGAACACTATTAAAAGAAAACTAGACTTCGGGCTTTTGAACTTATAATAAATCAATTCAGCACCTAAAAATTCAAAGTTTGAAATCCTGTTTTCTTTTAGTAACATTTATTTATATATTAATATTATTTGTATAAAATAAACTTATCAAAATATTTAAATAAATTTACTATTATATAGTT